ACACTACGCAAAAAAATTAAAGGAGCACTTTAAAATTTGCAAATTTTATCGATTTTAGGAAACTAATATCTCGGCTTTCAGGAATCACAGGACATTGTTTTTTGACGCGTTTTAAAGGATAAAGCCTCTACTTCAAAATGGGTGAAATTTTTCATCCTATTATATTGTTTTTTTTTTTTTTCGTGAAAACCAAAAGCAAAGAGTGTTAGAGACTTGAAAATGTCATTGCGGCCTTTCACAGGCAAAGCAACGACGAGGTAAAAAACATCATCACATCAGTTTTGAAGGCGAGAACATTCCCTTTAAAATGACATGGAGAAAATTGTTGTAGCTTACCTAGGAGCTGAGTTATCAGGTTTCAAAGTAAACCATATTTTTTTTGCGTTGTGTATATTGCGAGAACACGATGTATACTGTAATATGATTCTAGATCTGTGAAAATGGTTCAACATATCCAAAGAAACGGAGTGGCAAAACTACAATACAATCAGAATTTTCGGTAGAATAATAGGAAATAATAATTTATTAAGCCAAGTAATAAAAAAAATATACATATATTTATACATATATATAATATACATATATATAAAAAAATATACATATAATAGGGTGGTCCTTATTTTTCAAACATGGAATTTTTTTAATTTCATGATTCAAAATGATTCCTTTTTATAAAAAAAAAAAACAATCTTTGTAAAACTTCAACTCAATCAGATTACAGCAAAGAGTACCGAAGGATGATTAATTTTTTATATATACTGATTTTTAGGATAAATAAGTATTTTAAATATAGGTAATATAAATCTAATATTTTCTTATAATATAAAAGTTCTATACGTATCAAATGAATGTATCCTATCAGGTTAATAATTCTCGGCTCAAGGATGTGTAACGTGTAACAGGATTCTTCACTCTGTGTGACATTATGTAGCTAATATATTGTCGATTCTTGTTTGAACGTTCCGTTTAATATTGTGCCGAATAAACGATCGTCTCTTCTCATTTCAAATAAGTTATAAAAATAATGTTGAACACGTCCTATCCCAAATTCTAAACATTGTTTCAGTCAATATACTGGCAACAGCAGTTTGATTTTGAGATATTATTTCTATCTCATGTAATGTATTGCGAAAATAAAAATCGTAAAATAAACTGAAAAAAATGTTGAAAATACTCCATAAAATACATTTATGTAGATGTATTGATATACATCGTTTCTCCCTCGAGAGGGAAATTATGCAATAAAACTTTAAAATTCGACACATATGCAGCGTTTAATGTAAAATTCACTGCCGCTGTTGCTTTTAAAAGCGTATCTCGTATTAGCGATGCTTTTAGCGTTGGATATAATTTAATTACAGTTGTAAAATATTGAAATTGTTTATATGTAATCTAAGTAAAAAATAAGAATCGCCTTTAATTATTAATTATTTATATATACTAATAGCTTATTTTATTTATTTATTATATGTGATTTATTTATATTCTCTATATATTTTCCGAGATTTTATATAAAAAAGAAGTATATATATATATAGATTTAAAGTGCATCTGATGTTAGTTATAATTTATTATTTGGATGCAAAATTCTGCATTTGAAATATATTTATAGCTAATGATATTTCCGTTTCTAAAAAACCAAGTTTTCTACAACAAATATTAATTGTGTATTGAATATCAATATAGTCTTCCATTAGAATCCTGATCTAAATGGGGAATATTGGTTTGCATGTGTATACTATTTGATTGCCCAACAATGTTTCAAATTACCTAGAGCTTACTGGGTATACGAATCGTTCGTACAGAAAGAAATTGGAACAAGAAAAAATGAAATAGGAAATGTGCCTTCTACCCGTTAATTAAAAGTGCTGCAGAGGAAGTAGCCAACTAAAAAGGGCGAGGCTGAATGAAAACAGCTGCCACTCGATGACGACACAGTCTAAGAGCGCGCTTAGTTCGGAAGCTTCACCATCGTTAGTTTCACGAACGGTTATTAAAGCCGGTGCCCATCTAATAAGGCATTTTTTCAACCTTCTAACGAAGCATTTTAACAATAAGTGGAAGAAATTTCTTGAGAAATTTTAATCGAGCGTTTCTGAAAATTTTTGAAAATGTCAATCAAACTGGTATAAACGGTAATTTTTGTAGATAAAGAATTGATGAAGTTAACTAAATTTCAATTTCGATTCTCATTAATACTCAATATATATTCGATAAATTTAGATTTCATTGATGCTGTAGAAATTCAAAAATATTTTATTTATTTATGTGAAAACGGAAAAGTAATAATTAATATAAAATATATCTTTCCATGTGATAGCGTGCATCGAAAATTAAATAAGATTATGCCTTTCAATTTCCGGATAAATTCCAGTTAGATTCCTCTGAAAGCCATTTACAGAACGGTTTCCCTACATATTTCACGTAGATCTAAAATTATTTTCACGATATGTCCCTCTATAGAAATAATCTGAAGTAATTGTGAATCATCTGATGTTAGAGTTCTACGTTTTGTGGCACTCTGTTAGACTTCAATAATTTAAATCTTAATACTTTCATACGAACACTGCTCAATTTCTCCTTCCTTTACTTAGAATTTGATACTAGTTTCTGTACTTAAACGTCCACTCTTCGATAAAGTTCAAAGGAGTACATGGAACCAATCAATATATATAAATTAGGTAAAAATTTCGTTAGTTTTGCAAAAGGGAGCAATATTATTAACTGATGCGCAAAGCGTGGACGTACAAGAAGATATAAACAATATTTAATTGTAAAGTCCGTTAATGTAAGAACATAATATGAATACGAAGCCTATAGCAGTCTAGCTTGGATCTTAATTACTTGTAAAAAGATATAAAATTTCAATCCTACCATAAACTTCAGTAATTAAGGGCGAATGAGAGTACAGCGTTGTTGTTGGTACAAACAGTAATAAGAAGTGAATTTCTTCAAATTACTACTTTATTCCATTGAAATAAGAAATTTAGAACCTCTCGACTTATTTTGGAATCATTCTCAGGTAATACAAATTTAATATTTCTCTTTTATATTTATTGTTCGAGTCACATCAGATTTGCAGATTAATGTTGAAATCTCTGTTAAAGGAGGATGTTAAAAAGAGACCGATTTTTGCCCACAAACGTGCAAATAAAAGAAAGAACCTCTCGACTTATTTTGGAATCATTCTCAGGTAATACAAATTTAATATTTCTCTTTTATATTTATTGTTCGAGTCACATCAGATTTGCAGATTAATGTTGAAATCTCTGTTAAAGGAGGATGTTAAAAAGAGACCGATTTTTGCCCACAAACGTGCAAATAAAAGAAATAGCGTTTTTGGTAATTATTTATTGTAGGGAATTGTATATTTATATACAATAAATATTTGGGTAATTATTTATTGTATATAAATATACAACAAAATACTTCAACTTCTGGACTCTTGGAATTCCAAAAATTCGGTAGTCAACGGGCAAATGAGAGTACGGCGTGGTTATTATTACGCAAATCCAATAAAAAATTGATAGATTTTCTCAATTTATTCAAGTTTTAGAACGTTTCGATTCATATAGAACCTTCATCAGCTAATACAGCGTATCCATAAATTCATCTATTCTACATAATAATTAATAATTCTTGTGGAATATGTCACAGCACATTGTTAGATGAGATGTTCAAAATCTCACAAGATACGTCGGCGTTTGGCCATTGTAAGGTTATGATGTAATTTTTTGTATAAGATGGTTTATGGTTAAGTCTCTTTTGGTTATTTTTAATACCTAAGATGAACGATTTGAGTTGGATTTTGTTTTTATTGTATCTTGTGAGATTTTGAACATCTCATCTAACAATGTGATGTGACATATTCAACCAGAATTATTACTTATTATGTAGAATAGATGAATTTATGGATACGCTGTATTAGCTGATGAAGATTCTATATGAATCGAAACGTTCTAAAATTTGAATAAATTGAGAAAATCTATCAATTTTTTATTGGATTTGCGTAATAATAACCACGCCGTACTCTCACATTTGCCCGTTGACCACCGAATTTTTATAAATATACAATTGTACTACGTATAATATATAGTATATATGTATATATAAATATATTTACATTTGTATATGTGATGCCTTTTGCACTAACGTGCGATCTTTTTTCTTTTTTTTACTTCGTGCTGAATATAGAGAATTTGTATAGTACTTGTCGAAAGTGAGAATCTCGTGCAGTGAATTCGGAGAAATTAAAAGTTGCACTACCCCTAATTTTTCTAAATTAAAGATTTAAGAGACCATGGATTTCCAATATTACTTCAATATGCCGTATCTTTTTGAATATCAAACTACAAACGTTTCATGCGATAGTTGTGATATTTTTATATACCTCGAGAAATAAAATTATTTTTATCTCAAATTATATTTTAAATTATCTTTAATTTATGTACATATTACATATATGTGTTAAAATAAATCGAAGAATGAGCAGTTAAACTGACAATTATGTTAAAATTTCACTAAACATTCGACTATATATTTTGAAATATTTAATATTTGAAAAATATTTTTCTCAAAATCATTTTTATTTATTAAAAGTAAAGTATGTGTGTGCTAACTTTTAAATAATGTTTATGCATTATTTAAAAAGCAGACTTTTAAAATGTATTTTGTCCAAAATTTATAATTTTTTAGAAAATGAGAAAGAGAAAATTAATAAGTAGGTATTCCTTTTTTCTTTAAACAAAGAATGCTAAAAATGAAAAAGCAATATTCACTATTTGTTATAAAGTCGATAGTTTCTAAAATTATTTAGAAATAAATATAGGAAGTAAAATATTCTGTATGTTTTTGTTGTCATTATTGTGCAATGTGACATTATTGTATACAAATATTAATAACAAAATTGTCAGTCAGAGATATTAGTGACAGAGATTAAGATAGAGGTAGAAGAATCAATGTACGTATTTAAGTTGATAAATGTCAAATAATTTATATACCTCGTAAGAGCGTCCTCATTTCTCTTCGGTACGAAACGGTCTTGATATCTGAAAGAAAAAAAATAAAAGAATAATAATTTCTATGCTTGATACTATGTACCTACATTCTATAGTTACATTTTATCACGCAACTTATGTATATAAGATAAATTTTCACTATATATAATGTGTACTCTCTCTGAGAATATATGTATTTTTGGCTCAAATTACTCGTTGCGATGCCTCCTTTCAGGACATATAACGTTCGATTCAAATTTTTTTATATTTTAGTAGTTATGCACTCCCCAAAAATCGACTTTGGTGGCCTGGGATAAGAGATTTGTAGTGTCTCTCAGTTTTTGAACATGGACGGAAACACTACCGCGTCTTCTGATATCTAATAATTCATAAAAAATTCTATACCACAATCAAAAAATTTAATTTTTTATTAAACCGTACAACTATCCTTAAGCATAAAAGGTTAGTAAAATTTTTAATAATTATATTTCATTGTACGATCTAATATACTTAAACATGATTAAGAAAATACATTATATATTATGGTTCAAATAATGAAATTTAAATAAAATAAATAAAGAAGTGCTACGGATCAGAAAAGACAAATTTAATGTAATCGAGATACAAATTGAAAATAATAATAAAAATAAAAATTAAATAGCGCTATACATGATTCACAGACGTTTCGACTCCGCGTCATTTTCAATGTTAAACATAATATAAAAATACTTATAATAATAAATATAGTCATAATATAAAAACGGTTGAAAGTTATGAACAATGAGTAGAAATTGATATAGACTTATACGATTGTTAGATGTAAGTGATGATACTAAATCTATACAGTTTCCTATTTTCAAAAAATAACGTGTCCTTATTATCGCCATTACATACAGTTCCATTTTTTTTAAAATAAAATATAACAAGAAGTCGCAGTAGGAAAATCCGATAAAATAATGTTTATAAAATAATATGTTTGACATATTAGCGGTTGGTACGGGGTTTGTCGCACATCGTATCGAGCCCTGGCTCATAGTTTTCGCCTGCTGCTGCAGCAACCGGCATTTTTTGAGCGTGCAGGACGCTCTCGCGGGGCTTCGGCGATCCTTTCGGGCTTTTCCGGGCGTCGTCGAACGCATTCGTTTTACCGGCTTGTTCAGCAAGCCAGAGAAGATTAATCGCGGTCGCCGTACAGATCGGTTGTATTGCACGAGCAACAAATAAAATCTCGAAAAGTATATCGCGAGTGGTTTTGATGTGCAAACCCTTCGATTCACGTCCTTCATTGTCTCAACGGTGGCTGCCACAGTAATCAGTGGCTTCTTATTTACGAGAACTGCAGAGACGCGTTGTCTCGACCATGCTTCCCGATTCCGAGCATCCCGGGAAGACGCATGGGGCCAGACGCCGCTAAAAATCAGCCGGGCGTCGACGGCCAATTCACAAATACTGAACAACATAAAATCTTATACATCATATCTTTGTGTGAAAAAATTCAAGTTGATATAATTAAGAAATGTTTACTATTTTATGTATACAGTAAGAAATATTATTCTACATTGTACTCGTATTTCATACAAATTCACAAACATATGATGTATATCGCATTTTTTGTGAACCTAAATTTAATTAACATTTTAGGTCAAAATCATGTGTATCTATTGACAAAAAAAGTTCGTTAAAAAGGTGAGTGCACTGACTGTTTGTAGCCTGCTATTTTCTGAGTTTATGGGTACCAATCGGCGTCTGTCAGAGAAGCGTGAGTGCAATGCCGAAAAGAAAACGAGGGTGTCTTTCTTTCATCGGGTGTTCCATTACTAAAGACAAGCCATACTCGACACATGGTGTAATACACACTGTTGGACTATATGTATATGACATGTACGGTCGATGCTTTCGTGAATCGTTTACTGTTATCAAGTTAATTTGTTTTTAATGAAAATTTAGGTGCATGTAACACTTTCTGGTAGCCTTTTCTGGTGAATTAGTATTCCAATTACGTGTTATTTTGGGACAGAAATAATCTCGATGTTCACAGGAAAAACGTAAATTGAAAGCAATTTGTGATATTTGAAATTATAAAATATTATATTTATTTTTAGAATATTATTAATTTGCGAAAACGAATTATCACTTATCCTCGATACTTTGAAAATTTTGCCCTTTGACAATTATTGATTGAACAGAAATAAACAAAAATTATTTTATTTTTATTTGAATTATGGATATTACATACGAAAATACATAGCTTTATTAATCAACCGTTTATTTATTTCACAAGTTAAACTTTAATTTTTTATTTTTAACAATAAAAAATAAATATCTCAAATATCATGTCAGTATTTTTCACATTCGTCAGTAAAATTATGCTGATGGTCACCTCGAAAATCAGTTAATCATCAAATAACGTTTTTACGTTATCATATTCTAAATAAAAATGTATTAGCCAAATATAAAGTGCCGTTTAATACGATTTAAGCAAATGCTTTTTAAATATTCCTTTGTTAAGAATATTACACGTCCGACACTTTCTATTCAAATTTGATGTTGATAATTGACAGAGAAAAATTTAACGAATGTTAAACGTTTATTTAAATTTTTGACGTGAACGTGTTATATTCATATCAAATTAAACATCCAACATCCTTTTATTAAAAGGTTTCAAACGATGATATTAAATCTTTTGACAAAATTAAGCCTCAAGCGATATACCTACTTGCCAGAAAATTGCTAATAAATACATTAATGATATCTAAAATATGTTTAAATTTAAAGTTTATGATTTGACGATATTTCGAATAACATTAATTTTAATTTCGGACCGTAGTTGAGTACAAACATATTAATGTGTCTTTAGGTAATATTTAATTAATTTAAATTTGTAATAAGGCTCAATAAATTTTAAAAAATAATAAAAGGAAACAGTGCTATGAGCCCAAAAATTCGTTAAAATATAAAATTGTTAGTAAATAAAATCTATCATAGAGATAAAAAAATATAAAGTTTAATAAAAATAATGGAAAAAATTATATATAAATTTAAATTTATATACAAATATAAAGTTTAATAAAAACATACCTTTCAACCTTTGTTAGGAGTAATAAGGCTCAATAAATTTTAAAAAATAATAAAAGGAAACAGTGCTATGAGCCCAAAAATTCGTTAAAATATAAAATTGTTAGTAAATAAAATCTATCATAGAGATAAAAAAATATAAAGTTTAATAAAAATAATGGAAAAAATTATATATAAATTTAAATTTATATACAAATATAAAGTTTAATAAAAACATACGTTTCAACCTTTGTTAGGTCATTATCAATGTTTATCATTAACATTGATAATGATCTAACAAAGGTTGAAACGTATGTTTCTATTAAACTTTATATATTTTTATCTCTATGACAGATTTTATTTACTAACAATTTTATATTTTAACGAATTTTTGGGCTCATAGCCTTTGGGCTCTGTTCCTTTTATTATTTAATTAATTATTAATAAAAATATATTTCCGCGCAGAAACACAAATTGTAATTTATGTCAAATGAATAAATTTATATCTAATCAATAAGTAAATGCACTCACAAATATTCGATATTGCGTTTAGCAATTAAAGATCTGTCTGTAAGATAAAATATAAATAAAATTAGTAATGATAATAAGGACTATGAATCAAAACAATATAGTTTGATAAAACAATAAACAATTTACGTACGAACCCTTCGATACCGATCGGGCCATTATCAATGTTATAATAAATACAATTTAAAAAATCGGTAAATCTTGAAAGTATAAACGTACAAAAACCTTATGAGCAATCATTTATTACGGATGTTGCATCATTAACATCTATTGTAGAATTCATGGTCATATTAATAAAAATTAGATGTAATATATAATTTTTAATTTAATTAGAGTATATAATTTTTGTAACCGTCTCTAAAGATTTTGTGATTGCTAGCAACATATATAAATTGCTAGTAAACTATAAGTAAGTTTCGTTTAAAAAATATTGTTTCTGTAAATTTTTAATTTCCGAATTGCCAATTTTCTAATCTTCATCCCTTATTTTCGAAATCAACAATGACTGAATGATGTGGATGCATCAAGCGTCCCAAAGGGTCCACAATTCACTCGCCACGGCGCTGACCCAAGGTGGAGGTCATTACACCCAGTAAGCTCTCATTACTCCTCGATCGAACGACCTCTTCTCTCTCTTTTACTCTTCCTCTTTCTCCTCTACACCACGTCTTCGCAGCTTGACCCTTTCGTGTGCTTCGTCGGGTAACCGGTCGTTCCCTTCGAAAAGCTTCTTCGGCGACTTTCTTGCAATCGGTAATGCCAACGAAAATTTATCGCATCTCGTCCCGGTCGACTCATCGATTTTCTCGTCTACTCCCCTTGCCCGCCTTCCTGACGGACCACCGAAAATCTTCAACCGCAAAGAGCAGACCGCCCCCGCGCGAACCACTTCTCTTCTTTTTGCTCATATTGACGACCGTCGCTCGTAAATTCACGTGGAATCTCCGTATATTGCCTAACTAGTTTGCCCGCATAGATTTACGGCATGTTCCACGTTGATTTAGCGCCAAGTTCGTTAAGAGAATACTGCGATAATGCTAAAAATGACGCGCGCTTTCGCGCCGCGTTGTTTTCCACGCGATTAATTTTAATCTCATATATAAATCTAGTGATAAATATTAAAAAATTGTTTCTAAAAACTATGTAGTATTATACAATCGATCGTTATATTCTGACGTATCAGTTGTGACCTCGATTCTTTAAAGATTTTTTTCTAAAAATACTTCAAAATTTCTAAAATGCCATCTCAGTATGAAAATACATTTATATTCTCACTATAATAAAGATCGCATGAAGTTAATAAAATAATAACATCTAAACTTTATTCATAAATTCATTGTGAAATTTCAGAAAGATTTATATTTTTAAATGTATGCTGCATTTTTTAATATGCTTATAAGAAGCCTGCGAATAATAATGCGGTATAAAGTTACACGAGTTGCGGATACATATAAGCTTTGTTTATCTATTATATTTGCGTATCGGGGAAGTTTCAGGGAAATTAATCTCATATGTAATATCGAATACCCAATATTCACGTTAATTCAATTTACAGTATTTATGCCTACGTTATGCATCGGCTAGATTAGTCAGCTGACGCACGTCATGATTTTGCTTGAATACGTAACAGCACATATCCATCTTACGCGGAATATATTTAGAGCGCGTTGTTATCCCGACCTACACACGCACGAAATCAACCATACGATTTGTTCGCCATGTTTGCAATCTCCCGGTTCACTTGACGTTAATGCCTGCCCATGATTGTTATGTTACCAAATATCATACATCAGTAATTAGCTTCTTTAATTTCATTCCTCTCTTATCCTATTTTAGGTATAGTATCGTAAAATGTTATTATAAACATCAATGTGTAATTCTAATATTACTCCGGTTTACATATCAAATTTTATTATTACCATCACTGCGCTATCAGCGTAAAATTATATTATTATTATTATTTAGTTTACATATCATATATTAAAACTATTATTAATACTAACATTAAACTATGTAGTTTTATCTTTTCTCTTTGTATTTATTATATACTGAGATGAATGTACGTATGCATAATTTTTCACATTTTATGTTACTTTCAGGGTCGTTCAAACGTTTTTAAAAGATTTAGCTTGAAACAGAAATTATGGACAGTAACATCATCTACAAACTACGCGATTTCTTCTTTTATCCATTTTACAGAAATTGTTAACGGAGAAACAATGCGCAGTCCTATTCGCAGAGAGAACAAACGTCTGCGCCATTTGATTACGCGACAACATTGTTGGCTTACGAGTCATTATGCAACCGACAGCGTGGTCATAACTTCGAGTAAACGCAAGGAATCGGCACGAATAATGAATGAGAGAAAGGCCAGCCTGTAACGCTTCTGCCTGAGCTCTCGACCGAGATAATCCGCGCTTATGGAGTAGTACGCTCGCGAGGAATAGGAAATACCAACTCTTTATAATTATAGTAATTTTAAACTTTACCTTTATTGCGCAGTTCACAGGATTTTTAATTTTTAGGATATTGTGTCCAAATAATGTTCAATTTCAAGCTTTATTTGAGACACGAACTGTCGCATTGAGCGAACGGAGCGTCTTTTGCAGAGCCGATCACACGAAAGTTTTTCGAAAACTTTGTGATGAAAACATGGTCCTGTAGCGTGCCAAGTCTGCTGAATATGCTGTATATAAGTTATTATATACTTTGAGTTCTACTTGAAATATAAAAAGACATTATATTTCTAGTAGAATTGTAGACGTTAAATATTATTCATTACTATGGACAACGCACGAAATATTTATTGTAAAAATATTTTTTAAATATATAGTTACACTTTTTAAATTATATCTTTATTAATTCTATATTAATTTTCCGTTGCCTGAGATTTAGATAGAATGTTTGCTTTCATGATAAAATTCTATCATACGTCATTTTTTAAAGCTAAAAAAATTCTTTAAATTATTTATCACAAAATGCAAGTTTTTCGCACCTTTCATATTTTTTAATTTATAACGTTATTAATTATAATAATCCTATATACACTACGGAAAAAGTAATTTTTAATTTATATTAGCTAAAAAGGCAATGAATTTTCATAGCCACATAATTTATACATTTAATATTCACACATTATTACATTTAAGTTGCCAACCTCGAGAGAACGTGGAAAATATTCAGCCATTGGTAGAAACTCTTTGTGTTAGAGTAATCGTATCACAGTCATTGTTCGACGCTTCATTGTAATACGAAGACTTCCGCAGAGGCAAAATTACGCTCTTCCGCGCTTCGTCATGTTTTTGCCTATCAGGCTATATGCGTGGCGAAATATTCGTGCATGGCAATTGCCGAAAGTCGCAGAAAAAAAGAATATCCCCGACGTGTTGCTCGATAAAAAAATCTTTCATCGTCGATCGAATTTATGGAGCGTGTCTTCACCAACGAAATTGGCGCGAGGATAAAAAGCTTTACGGAAATTTTGGCGACACGAATTTCGCAACGTAAAAACACGATGTATCCCACGCATCGCTCATCCTCGATGATGATGCCCGCAACATGCGTCATGCGTACAATTTTGGAAATTTCAAAGCGAGAATTGAAATCTGGATGTGTAATGCCGGTGAATTCCGATCTCAATGCGAAATACACATAGTGATCACGTACTCATATCCGACGAGTTAATTCTGTAAAAGTACATATTCTCTTGCATCTACAGCGCATGGAAAATCGGACATCATAGATATCACAAGCGTTTCGATTCGTATTTTGACGCGTGTTTTAAACTACGTCAATTGATAGGCTCATGAAAATTTCAGAACGCCCCGCGAGAACTTAACGTCGCCACGAATTCGTGCTGATCTCATCGTCTCCCTGTCAATTCCCACGCGATCTATCGACGTCGTGCGCTCGGGGACATTATTTTGATTAGCGAATAACAAGCAAACGTCGGTTTGACCTGCAGCACCGATTCCAAATACGCATAAACACGTTAACAGTCCAAATTTCGCGAACACATTATACGTGCGAATGCGGAATTAGCAATTCACGGCTCGCCATTCGCGATCCATAGTAAATTCGCAGTAATTCACTGTTTATCAATACGGACCTTCAACATTGTTAACGAGATTCCTGCCTCCTGGCTCATTGTTTGTAAAATTATATATTGCTCTATATATGTATAAACCAACACGAACCGACTGATGCACGCTCTTTGATTTCGTCAAAAAATCGCCGCACTGAATTGGCACGGATGATAAACAACGAATGTGAAATTCGACGAAACTGTCTGTTCACATTATTCACGAATTGTTTCATACAAATAACGAACATTATTCACAGATTATTTCGTATCGAATGGCGAACTGGGAATCGCGAATTGCGCACATAATCCGACGCTAGTTTAAACGATAATCGAATAGTTGGCAATCGTGCTGGCGGTATTGATAAGCGTCGATTCCTCGCACTATCGTGTAACAAATCAACGATTCTTCCCGCATGCAACACGACGCACAAGATGCAGTAGATTATCGTAAAATCTGCCACTTTTTCGTTTCGTCATTTCTTGTTTATTTAACAAGATCAGATTACGACTTCACTCTGGTCACTTGGCACTCGGCACTACGTCGGCGTCTGCGTCTCGTTGTTGGAAAGGAAATGACTGAACTTACAATTAGTATAACAAGCTAATTCACGAAAAAGTGTACTGCAGAACTGGTAGGACCCCATACCGAGCGTTTCTGCACACAAGGACATTTCCCCTCGTCGTCGAGACGAACCATCGCTTCTGATTCGTCATTGACCTTTCCAACAATCGATCGATCGATTAATCGAACGAAGCAGAGTGGGAGGATTTTTGAAATTCTCGATTTTACTTTCTAGCAGGAACTTACGGTGATTTTATGCGTTTCATTATGGTTGATCTGTCCCTATCCATATCCCCGATGCGTCTTTCTTCGGTACGACTTGATTCTGCTCGATTCTGCTCCTGGCTAACTGCAGGTCCGTCCGCCGTTGCACGATTTTTCCAAACCCCTCAAAATCAGCCAAAACCATCTCTCGTTAGTTAAGCGGATATTTCGTGCGGTTCTCTATTTGTACGTAATCAACGGGTTCCGTAACCCAAAGCACAGTGAAGCGCGAATACTACGTAAATAATTGTACATAAATAATAGTACACGTTATAATAGATTCAAGCACTTTCGTTTCTTGCGCGCCTCTGCACCGAAAATTTAATTCTCGCTCAACAGTCTGATCGGATTTAATCAATAAGCACGGATTTCGAAGACAAACACAAAAAGTAAAAATAAATAAATGTATTTAAAAAATTTTAAAAGCTATAAAAATCAAAATTAGACGCGTTCTGTAGATTTACGAATAAAACGCTTAATTAATTTGAAAGAAAAATCCAACTATTTGCATGTATAAACGTTAAACATCTGAACTCAACCTAACCCGGTCGTTTCCGCGGAGAAATCATTCAGAAATAAAGCGAGACTAGGAATTACTTACTGGCTAGTACATCCACAGATTAAAATTTTGAAGATTTATCTCGAGGGGAGTGGCTCGCGAGAGAAGGGCTATATCAAAGGCGCGCGGATTGTCAACTTTCAATATGTTCTCCGGACTGAGGAGGTCGAAGGCGCTCCCGACACCGACTCTTTCCACGATACCTCGACATAGTGTACGATAAGGCGGATATTAAGCCACTAGTTCCCCGAGATTCGCCGGCCGCGCGGGGATTTGGAAAAATTGCGACGAACTCCCGTCGTTGTACTCTTGCGATGCACACGACACACACACGTACAGCGAAACAACGCGAATGAAGGGGAAAGAAATGGAACAAAAAAGATATTGCACTGTTCCGCGCACATACACTACGGCAGCATGAGCCGGAGCACACAGCGTTCGTTGTCGTCGTCTTCGTCGTATTCTCCCATCGGAACTTATCCGTCTCGTGTCACCAGTACCCGGCCGTTTCGTTCTCCGCTATGCGGCGGAGCAGCGTGCATGCGTGCGTAACATAAATTACCGCGCGCGCGTTACGTATGTCGGGTGTGTAAATATATATATGTTGGGGGGGGGAGGTGTGTGTGTATGTATGTGTGTGTGGATGTGTGCGCGCGCGCGCGCGCGCGTACGTAGGTAAGCGCACCGAAATACCAGGTGGATCAGAGATACGACCTCAGCGACGCGCCAACGACGACTGCTGATGACTGCACCAACTAACAGAGGTCTCACATGTATCGAGCGATAAGGGGGAGAAAGTAGGGGAAACAGGGAGAGATGGGGGAAAGCTACAGTCATGTAGGAATACGCGAGTGGGGGTATACCTCGTGTGAACACTGATGCCAGTCGGCCATTGGCGTAAGAGCGATGTTCGTCGATATTCGCGGATTTCCGGGAATCTATTTTTTTTTTTTTTTTTTATAATTTTTGTTTCTTTCAAAATCTGATGCTAATTACACCGATCTGATTTTGAAGGAACGCCTGAACATGGACCGACGAAGAAAACTATTCTGATTTCTTGCGTGAATTTGTAACATTATTATGAAAGACTCTTGATATTCACGTGATATTCGCAACATCGATTGATTAAAAATGTTCAAGACGGATCTTGGAAATAGAATAATGAAAATTATATGAAAAAGCATATGATAGATTGCGCGATTATGTTTTTATCTAAAATATGAAAGTTGCTCCGAAATTATGCCGATCGGCAGTACTTACTATATAATAAGAATCAACAAACTACATTATATATTATATAATGCTAGATATAATACAAATGTATTATATTTAGCATTATATAGACACACATATACATATGTATGTAAATATATACAATAGTATATACATATGTATATACTACACATTAAATTTATACATACATGTATATGTATATAAACTTTCATTGAATATTACTGTATAACAAAGAGCATAATTTACTCACTTATCTCATTGTTGCGTTAGCAACAGTTATCTAAAGTGTAACTTACAATGGCGGCTGCAAGTTCCCCGAATTGTTAGGGGATATTCACTCCACCAGTTCTCGCCGTATTCACCGAATATCATTGCCGAACTACTAGTAGTAATTCAGTGTAGCTCTCGTACACCGATGCCGATCATTAATCAGCGATATATGGTTTATCAATTCAAGCATAATTCAAAGACATTACAGATAAAATTCTTATTTTTCCAGGTGTCGATTAATTTTCATTCTTTAATTAATTGTTACTGATTGATTAAGATTTATTTTATTCGCACAATATTAAATATTTTACATTCTAGTTAGAATTCTATATGATAGATGAATTAAAACAAAAACAAATTTGGAATATTTATTTATATATAAAGGATATTTATGTAAAATTAGATTGAGATATAGACATTAGTTGTTCTGTAAATAAACAAAATATTCATTTGTTATAAATTAATTAGTGAATCTCAATGAAACTTTGTATAAGTTATTTTTAATACTTAAAGTACTTATAAAAAAAATTTCGATTTTTGTTATTTAAAAAATTTTTGTGCATAACAATAATACTAATAAATAAAACAAATAATCCATAAAAATGTATTACTCAATAAAAACAGGATGTTATGAACACAACTTTTATATGTATTATATGTAGTTTATTTAAAACGTAAATATTAATATACACGTGTTGATAATAATTGTTTGCCGACTAAATTTGAAGGGGCTATGGGATATCACATGCAATATAATTATCCACTATTTAATCCAATGCAATATGATTATTCGCTATTTGGTCCAATAATAATACCACTTCGCAAGTTTTTTTTAATTTATATTTACTCACAAAATAACGTATACACAAGTTGACCGTAATTTACGCAAAATCAACTCTATCCATCTTGGAATCAGAGAATGCAACAACAAAACAGACGCTATGCTCTCGCGCCATATACACGCGAACAAGAAAGCGCTAGACAACCAACGAAATGCAACCAGCGGCACACTAGATAGAAAATTGAGAAGCCAAGCACGCATAACGTAAGGGCGCTCGATAAAAAAAGGTGGGAATCGCGAATTCAAGAAACTTAAAATCCCCTTAACATGTGTTTTATGCCCTTATAACCTCCTTAATTTTTCCCTCATCTTTTACAATAATTTCACTAGAGACAAGTTTTGATATTTTTGATAATATAATATTTCTTTCTGGTCATTTTTTGATATATATATATAACTTTCAGGAATTATTACAAGTTCCTAAATTAATTTTTGTACAGAACTGAAAACTATAATATTAAATCTTATAGGACCGTACATGTGAGAAACACAACCAGTAAGAAATTGCCTGGTCGAGCTGGAGACCTTAGGTACAATTAATATATAAATTCCGTGTGAATTTATATATTACGTATGTAATCTTTTAAACCGCGCACCGAACAACTTTTGTACAGAACTGAAAACTATAATATCAAAAACATTATTTACTTACGTCTTCAAATTAAATTCTAAAGATTCGCATTCAGGCAGTGATGCCAGAATTATTGATACGTATGTCTGTCAAAAAGTGGGGATGGAACGGATACTCATACCATATTAAAGAGGAAACATTCAGCGTGGAACCGATCGTACACTTTTTTGTGGGAGTATCCCTTCCATCTTCTTTTTGATGGAGCTGCATCTCAATTTTGGCATAACTGAATTTCAAAGATTCATTTTATTAGAATATTTATGAAAAATTTTATAATATGCCATCTATTTTATTTTATTTTATTATATTTAAATAATAGAACTTCGCTGTGTTAATCTAACGATAGTGCCGTCTATATGCGGAGAATATCTATATAGTATAAATATAACTAGAGAGAGGAGGGAGTTTTAGATTAATTAGAAAACACTAACTAAATTCCTATAGTTAATACAGTTAAACTGAAGTTAGTCTATCAAACATTCCAGTTCTAGTTATAAAATATCGACTGCTATCATGATAATCAGAAATTCCATTTATTATAGTTTCATCAAATTGCATTCTGCTATACATGTCTTGTTGGTATAAACAAAACATTTTTTCAGTGTACATACGCAAGTGAGAAATCTTCGTATAGAATACAGTGCGAATTATTAGGTGAATTTACTTTCCGTCTTTCTATATGTCACAATATCAACTCGTTTATACATGAAATAATTGTCTAAAACTGGGTCTCTTGGTAACTTACGCCCATGTCTAAGCTTGCCTAGATGCTTGAAACGTTTATCAAGGGGACTGTATCGCAAGAGAGAGCAAACGAGAGAACGGGAGCGGGAAGAGGGGGAGAAAAGGGGGGAGAGAGAGAGAGAGAAAGAGAGAGAACGACAAGAAACAAAATGGAGACGGACAGGAGAGAATGCGTTCAAAAAGAAGAATACGAGAGTTCCCCCTTCTACAGTAGGGTTTCACAGAGTAGTTAATCGTGAACCTACCGGTCGTTTAGTTGATCGACCAAATAACATTGAATTATTTCTGAAAAACTGTACATATGTACGTCGACACATGTACATGCACGTGCGTGTGTTGCTTGTTAATAATTAATATTGTCTAAAACTCAAAAATGGTAAGCAGCACCAAGTTCATGAAACATCTTTATCGATACAGAGAGGATCCTCCTTTCTTCTTTTCATTGTCTATACTATATCATTTTTCACCTCGGTAAAAAAGGCGGGAATCGCGAATTTAAGAAACTTAAAATCCTTAACATTATTAAAAACAACATAAACTCTATATACAAAACGGCTAAAGATGAGCATAATCAACAATAAATATTACATATTACTAATTTAATATGTTTAAAAATAGTTAAATGTAGTTAAAAATAGTTTTAACTTCACAAACTGAGATGTTTAAATAAAATCTAGCTTTGATGATACTTTTTATTATATGTTAACGATTAAAAATGTATTTTATATTTAATTTTTATTATAAAGAATTAAGTTCTTAGTTTTATTTTCATTTCATTAAGATATTTAAAGAAAGAGGGTATTATAAATTATTATAAAAAAATATAAAAATATTAATAAAGATTTGATTAATATAACCTAATCCTTTTTTTGTTAATAATAGACATAACTTTATAAAACAAATAATTATTTTTATGATTCAATTTATCCTTCGGAGTTGTTCAATATATCTTATAAGAGAGATTTATTGAACCACTTTATCTCTTTGTATAATCAACAAAATTATTTCTTATTTACAAAATATATTAACGATTTATAAGTACTTAATTATTGAGCCAAATAAGCTGGTGATCGTTTCACCCTGAAATTGTTTAAATAATTAATAAACAATAGTCGGAAATTTTTCTAATTTTTTCTGCCAGAGATATATTATTTTAAATGTGCCCAGGAAGGTATCCTGCAAATTTCAGCTTGAAACGCGCCTAACTACGGTCTCCAGATGAATCCGCTGCTGGTAGATAGTTAATTGTTATAAACAATAGGGTAGGAAATTTTTTCAATTTTTTCTGCCAGAGCTATTTTACTTTAAATGTTCCCAGGAAGGTTTCCTGCAAATTTCAGCTTGAAACGCGCCTAACTACGGTCTCCAGACGAATCCGCTGCTGGTAGATACTTAATTGTTATAAACAATAGGGTAGGAAATTTTTTAAATTTTTTCTGCCAGAGCTATTTTACTTTAAATGTGCCCAGGAAG